GCAACTTTTATTTTTGACGTTTTGATAATTTAAAAAAACATCGAGCGAAGATATCTTAGCAACCATGTGATCAAATTTAATGAATTTTTTTTTATTTGGATTCTATGGACCTATAGAATTCAAATAAAAAAAATTAGTCGAATTTGATCACGTGGTTGCTTGAATATTTTTTAAGAAAATTTGGCACAGCTTTTAAAAAACTTCGAGAGATGATATCTCAGCAACCGCCTGATTAAATTTTTTTTAAATTGAACTCAATAGATTCATAGAATGCAAATAAAAAAAAAATTATCAGATTTTATTAGATGGTTTCTGAGAAATCGCAATCGGACAATCGGGCATGCAGTGATCTACCAATTTTATCAAAAAATAAATCAATTTGCAAATAGCAATAAATCGTAAAAAGTTAACTCCACAAAAATTAACAAGCTCATACATATATTGATTTTAGCTTTATATTACATTGAATTTGAAGCAAATAAAAATTTAGAAAGCATGGATTAAGTTTATTATTAGAAGTGACCCTTTCATTTGACACTGGGGAGTCACCAATCATTGGAGGTGCCAAATAAGTATCTATTATGCTAATATTATTTGTCATGTCCATCAACTGGTCACACCCAGTGACACACCAAACATGTTGAACGAGCATTCGAACGAAAATTTAATAACTTTGACATTATTGTTATAACGATTGTCAAGGAGCCAAAATTTTAGATATAAGATTTTTTACAAAAAATCCAAAATTTCAAGTATCAACTCAAAATTTTCTAAAAAACATTTCATATTATATTATAGCTTGTGATACGTATTTTATTTTTAATAAAAATTTTATACAAACTTAACTTATTCAACTTCTCATACAGTACACGACTAGTTTGCATTGGAGATTAATACCGTGATCTAGAGACATAAATTTATAACGTGCAATTTGATTTCTAATCGTATTTATGTTAATTATTATTTGATCAGGATTTCAATAAATCAAATTACAAGCTCTTTTTCAAGACAATAAGTACTGATGTTTACAATGTTGTATTTTAACAAATCAAAAAAAAAAAAAAGTTTATAAATTTATATCAAAATTTATCTAAAATTTAAAATTTAAACAAAATTTGTCTAAATTTTTAATGTTAAAACTAAAGTTTTACGGGGTCGTAAAATAATCATAATAAAAATAATAGCTTTTGTTAAGGGACGATGAATTTCTGCGGTGGTTAAGACTAAATTCTACGTGTGGTTAAGACAAATTTTGTGACTTAGGGAATCTTATTGGCTAGTTTGATCAAACAGACCAATCAGATTTTTTATTGAATTCATTGAGGTAGATGTTTGAGAACGCCATTAATGTGATGCGGTTAAGGCAAATTCTGTGATTTAATGTGAAAATTTTCACTAATTCTGTGATTTCATTTCGTGATTCCTGTGATTTAATGCGATTATAAAATAAAAATTTATTTATTAATCATGATATCTAATTTTCAAAACCATAAAAGTTCCGTAACTTTCCGATGAGCATGCTCGTAATTTGTGTTGATTTATTTTTTTTAGAATTCTGTGATGTTCTGCGGTGACTAAGAATAATTTCTGTGGTTGGCTGTGATTAAGAGAAATTCTGTGGTTATCTATGAATCACGGGAAATCATCGTCTCTGTCCAGTATTTCTAATGTAGAATAAAGATGAATTCAAATATGAGCAAGGTTGAGAATTTTTGGATACAAAATTTTGAAAAGTATCGGTTTAAACATTTGTTATATATTGATATAACAGGTACAACATAAAATTATAAAATCTCAAACTCTACTCTTTAAACCCTCGAGAGTAATCTATGTTACGATCAGTGTTGACATTGGACATATGTCCAATGCTTATGATTGACCCAGGTAATAGCTAAATAAGAGTATGATCATGAAAAACTTTCTTTTTGTTATTTTTTCATGTGTTACTATTCCAATATTCAAATTAAAAACTCAGCAAGTGATTCCTACCAATCATGATCATAAATTGTCGAATAACGGTAATTTGACAAATGATTGGCTACACGTGCTCATTTGCCAAATTACCGTTATTCGACAATTTTACCTCCGTCAACTTTATGTTAGTTTTAACCTTAATTTTCCATATGACCCGTTGACCCGCCCGGGTCATTATTTCTGACCCGGGTAATAGCTAGGGTTTTGAAGATTTTTTATACCTATTATACCGTATTATACAATTGGTATAATATAGAATTCGAGTATCGGTAAAAAAATTTTGACCGATGTTCGAATGTTTAATTTATCAATATATAATGTTATCATTATCAAATCAAATAGTTAAATTTTTAACATTCACTGATGCTCGATGATAACCGAATTAAAAAACTCAGTGAATGAAAGCTTATTTTCGATGCTTGATCGACAATCGAATAATTAGTCACCGGTTCCAATCATCGTCCTCGTTACACAAAATTCAATAGAGACTATACATAAATTTGATTTACATAGTGTATTTAACACCCCAACGCGTCAAATAATTTTTATTCATTTTCTTAAGTGATATTGTCCAAAATCCAAAAATTTTCATGAGTCCTATAATAAAATAAGAAACGGGTGTTGTCAACCGGAACGTGTGTGGAAGACAACATATATAACCACTGTAATAAACTAAGTGAAGAAGTTCTTTTACATTCATGGACGCCAAGAAATTGTTTACAGAAATTGAGTGGAACGAACTACCAAGAGTTGATGAACGGTTTGCAAAATCTCTAATGAGATTTTCGAATGTAAGTTGAAAGTGTAGAGGTTTTATGTTAATTATATAGAATAATGACACCTTTTTTCATGTTAGAACGACTGAAGAACTCAGGAATATCCTAGAAACCACCTCTTATAAAAATAATGAGGAACCATATGATATAATAGAAATAAACACTACGATCATGAATAGGCAGAACCCGTCATGCGGAAATTGTAAGTATTTCTAGTACAATATATATTATGATATATATAAGATTAATACGTTCACATATTTTATTTTAAGCCTAACCGATTATGAGGACGCTGATAAAAACTTGCAAAAGCCGCATTTAGAAGGTTGGCACGACGTGAACGTATGGGTATTGATCGTTGACCACACATAAAAGACATAGAGATCGTGAGGTACTTGCTTTCATAATAAGTCTCATAATATATACGTCTATTCACGACAGTTTTAACCTTTTTTTTTACAGGAAGGTCAATGTATTCAAAATTAAGATTTCACTTGAATACATGTCCAGTATGTTTGGTATGTTAGTCTATAGGCATACACTTACAAATAATTTACTACAATAGATATCATTGCTGCCAATACCTTTATTACGGTTCTATAGTAAGTATTTTAAATTTTAAATTGGTTACTAATTATTAAATATATACAAAATAATAATATATTTTTTAATTAGAACGAAAGTTCCGATTAATGTTTATAGTCCGATACGAAAATTTATGATGAATGTTGTTCTTGCCAACCAACAGACCTAAATAACAAACATAAAAGGGATCTAAATATAAGCTTTCATAATAAATAAATTACACGAGAAAGTGCTAATTAAAAAAAAATCCGATGGGCAAGAATTTATTAACTAGATTAAAGAACCATTTGACTCAAGTTATAATTCTGACAAAGTTTTTATTAATATTTGTTGAAGTTGCATTGAAAATTATAATCAAAAGACGTAATAAAATCTATAAAATATAAAAAAATATAGTTGATCTAATAACTAAAGAACCTTTAGCTTGTTCGTCTATAGCAAACGTCTTAAAATGCCTAGCTTGTTTGAAGTAAGGGAACTAACACTTATTACGTAAATATAGCTCCCCCTATTTGTAATCAATTTTATCAATTACGTTTTTTTTGATTACATCAGAATTTGTAATTGTCAAATGGGTATAATACCAGTATTATACACAGAGGGTATAGCTATAATGCCATAATTAAAAACAATTTAGCCAATTAAATCGGTTTATTTGAGTTTCGAACCATATTAAACTATATAGAAGCAAAATATTGTATTATACAGTATTATACGGTATTATACCTGGTATATATTATACTACCATTTCTATTAATAAAAACATTTCAACAGGAGGAAACGTCCAAATATAGATATGATTTTCATTCTCCGTTACACAGATCACTCATTGTATCGACCAG